ACACACACACACACACACACACACACACACACACACACACACACACAGACTTTTGCTCCCACAGAAATGTCTTTATAGACTTTGGTCAAATTTAAGCCCTTTTCTGAGGTAGAAGATGAAGGGCAGACTGGATTCAAAGTTATATAACATGGATTAACAGTAAGTTTCTTCTCTGCAGTTTTAGTATCAAAAATTTCATCAAGAGACTTCTAAAAATGGCTCTTAAATCAAATCCCTTTAAAATTTTCGCTTTTTTTTTAAATGGAATTTTTCTGGCCTTTTATGAACCATGTACTCTTATTGATTTAATCTTTGAAAGTGTCACTTCAGTTTTAGATACCAACTAAAAACTTTTACATCCAATAATCCCAGGATTATTACTTGCTTCAAGTATTATTTTTTTAATTTCAGAGATTTTCTTTTCTGAAGAGGTACCATTTTTTTTCCTTGAAGTTTCAAGGCTTGACTTTCTTTTCCTTTAGCTCCTCAGATAAATTCTCATCCTTAATACCCCTCTGGTGACTTTGGCTCACTCCCTGCCATAAATTCATCCCATCTAAGGGAGTTTCTTAATCAAGGCATGGGCAGACCTCCTTATAACACCATTTTAATCTATTACAAGGTCTGTCAGCTAAAACCCAATTTTAGTGAAACCAGTACAGTATTACTTGGAATTTAAAAATCTTTAATAAAATTAAACTTAAGAGAAATATTCTGATTAAAATTGTCATTACTTACCCCTTCCTCCTCCCAAATGGAGGAAAATATAGGAAAATAGGCTGCTAATGGTCAAACGTTGGTAATATTAATCCTCATTTTAATACCAGGAACTTCTGTCTTTAGTTTCACAAAGAAGTTAGTTTACATTTTATTTTCTTCCTCCTGATCTCAGCATTCTCTGTGCTGACATTCTTAACATTTGATTTCAAGCTTGAAGAGCAAACAGAAGAGCAGATTTAAAAAGCAAACATCACGCTACATATGCCTAACCACTATAGCAATTTTCTAGTTACTGATCTGCTCCCATTTACATTCCACCCTCCAAGCCCTTTACATCCCTGTCAGACAGGATCCACACTTCTAGCCCAAGGCATCTCTACTCCTTCTTATTCTCCTTTGCTTATTAATTTTCCAGACACATTGGCTTTCTTCTGCCTGTTAGGGGGCTAGTTATTTGATCTCTGTATTTGTCTTGTTTTTAACATTCTTTTCTTTGGAATTCACATTTATGTCCTCTCTCATCCCTAATGAAATAAAGTAAGGCTGTGATCAACCCAATCAAAATAATATAAATATTCATAGAATCTTAGAGATCATAGATCTCATGTAGTCCACCCACTTCATGTTCCCACAACCATTTTATGTTGAGAAAACCGGAACCCATAGACTTGCCTGAAATCACACACTTAGATGTAGAGCTGGGACTCCAGCCTCCTACTGACTAATCCAGTTGGGCTTTCCCCATACTCATGCAGGTTCTCATTCCCTCAGAAGGCATTTGTTAATCCTAGGCAGTTGGGAGATACGGGGAAGAGTGTTGAAAAGGTAGGGAGGAATCTGAGATGTAGAAAACATAGATCTTGCTTAAAGTCTAGCTGGGGAGCTCACACATCTGTGTACGGCTTCTGGAGAAAAATTCCTGAGGAATTGGGGAATAGGAACACTCTGTAATAGCTACACGCTATCAGAGTTAAGCTGAGGGATGTGGAGTAAAGGAATAGTGAAAGTGGCTCAGATTTTTAATGGAATTCTTTTGGGGCCAGCATTCATTTAAACCATGAAGGACAAATGATGAACATGGTTTTATGAAGAGAAGAGAGACACAGTCTGTGTGGATGAAGGGGCCCAAGTGGAGACCAAGGTGGCAATGAACATCAGGCTCAACCTCCTCCCACTCAATTTTAACTTCTTTGGGAATAATTTTTCACTCACCTTCACTGTTGTTAAGCAGCTACTAGTCTGCTGAGGTACCCCTGTATGTGGACTTTAGGGGCAAATACTTTGGCATGGAAATTATCAGTAAAGCCTGCGGTGTGAAGCAGTGGAAAGAATACAGGCTTGGGAGCCAGAGATCTAAATTGGGGGACTTTTCCCTCTACCTTAATATTGGTATGATCTTTAGCAAATTAATCTGTTAGAGCCTCTGTTTCTGCATCTATGAAGTTGGGCTAGTAATATCTCACAGGGTTACTATAATAAAACATAGCATGTTTGGAGAAGTCCTTAGAAATCATATTGCAAATGCTACTAATGTTGAATGAGAACAGATTTGGATCTTGTCTGTCCCTCAGACCAGTTTAAAATACTCTTAAGAGTTTTTCTTGGCATATAATGTTCGTGAAGGCAGAGGGAAGTCTTTAAAAAATGAAATTTTGAAAAATGATCTTCAGAAGCTTTGAGAAGTCAAGCAACATCTATTTGTTAAATCACCTACTCTGGGCTCAGTTTGCCCTTGGTCATTCCTGCATGAGGTGACACATTTTATGGGGGCTGAGTATATGTATATGAATAAATGAGTGTCACTGCGTGTTGTCAGATCAAAAGGTCACTGCCTCCTCCTCCATTACCCATATACTAAAGATTTCATTTAAAGAAAGAAGAGAAAATACAAAAAAGATATTGCTATTTAACAGAAAAATATTTCATCATATTACAAAAGAATTGGGATAGAAAATTGGGGAAAAAACTATCTATTTATCTATCTATATATATATATCCAGTACCTTCAGTTATAAACATCCTACACTAAGACACTCATCTGCTTCAACTGCTTAGCTTCTCATGCTATCCTGGCTTTGATGTTCTCGCATTCTTAATTCAGCTCTCCTGGTTCGAAGAAGTAGTTAATTGTTAATTGGACACTAGCCTGATCTCTAGAGAGGTTAATTTGTCTTTAATGCTCATCCACTGATAAATCAGTCTGAGTGACTTAATGACAGTTGCCACCATCTGTGGCTTCTAAACTTCTTAAAACCAATTAATGAAAAAAATCCTTAGACGCTTGTCTGAAAGCATTGGCTTAGAACATTTTCTCCCTCCCTCCTCTTTCTTGGTCTTTTCTTCTCAGTGTTCTCTCTTTTCCTTTAAGTATACAGACCTTAATGCTTTACTCATCCACAGTTCAAATATCCAGCAACCTGACATACCTGAAATTTAGTAAAGAAATGGGAAGTAAGGAAACGCCACCTGCAACTATACCATGTTGCTGAATTCATGGACAAACCCGTACAACAGAGGCTTTAGATTCTCACCTAGAATCTATATATTTTTATTTTATATTGTTCTCATCAGTTAGGTTATATTTTTCCAATGCAATTATTTTCTTTTTTAAAATTCTTTTTCTGACTTTGAGTGTTACATTTTTATTGCAGAAATAGAGATAAGTAGAATGGTATAAGAGAATAGTAATTATAAATAATCCTACCATTGTAAACATTTTTGTGTATTTCTGATCAAAGCATTTTTGCAATATGGTTGATATTCTGCAGTTTTATATTCTGCTTTCTTCACTTAACATTAGTACATCAGTGCTTCCTCATTATCAAACCTCTTTATGTGAAAATAATTTTAATGGCTGCACAATATTCTGTTCTTGAAAATACTAGTCACTAAACATTCTTCTATGTTGAACATTTATGGTTTTTGTTTTTGCTTTTGCTATAATGAATAATGCTGCAGTGAATATGGTGGGCATTTGTTCTTCATTTCATATTACTCTAGAGAATAGACTTTAGAAAACATGAGTTTAAAATTAGAATTAGGGGGCGCCTAGGTGGCTCAGTCGTTAAGCGTCTGCCTTCGGCTCAGGTCGTGATCCCAGGGTCCTGGGATTGAGCCCCGCACCAGGCTCCCTGCTCAGCGGGAAACCGGCTTCTCTCTCTCCCACTCTCCCTGCTTGTGTTCCTTCTCTCGCTGTGTCTCTCTCTGTCAAATAAATAAATAAAATCTTTAAAAAAAATACAATTAGAATTAGAAGGTGGGGGAAAGGGATGATAATTGGAGCAGAGACACTGAGGGCAGTGAGGAATACAAGTAGAGTAAATCCACAGAAATCCATAAAAACAGTTGCCATACTCCCAGCATTGTACTATACTCTGCAAAATCAGCATTCATACACTATATTATAGAATTAACATCGTTGATCTTCATAGTAGTGACCTTAATTCACAGAGAATGTTAATTATATTTTGTATATAAAAATAGGAATTGTGTAAACCAGTTCAGAAAGTGGTTTATTTTTAAGTTTTGACAGGAATAAAGATGTTTTGTGGCATAATTGAAAGAGTACCTGGAACCAAAAGACCCAGACTATATTCTAACTCTACTGCCAACCAGATGTATGATCTTGAGTGAGTCACCAAACCTCCCTAAGGCCCATTTTCCCGTAAATCAAAGGCATAGGGGCTCCTGGGTGGTGCAGTTGGTTAAATGTCTGACTCGGTTTTGGCTTAGGTCATGATCTCAGGGTCGTGAGATCAAGCCCTGCATTACACTCTGCATGCTCCGTGAGGAGTCTGCTCAAGTTTCTCTCTCTCTCTCCCTCTTCCTCTGCCCCTCCCCATGCTCACACTCTTTCTCTCTCTCTCTCTCAAGTGAATAAATAAATCTTAAATAAATAAATAAATCTTTAAATAAAAGGCTTGGACAGGATCTCGTAGAAGTCTTCCATTTCTAAAACTGTAACTGGTCTCTTGACACTGGAAAAGTCAGGTTGCCATAGTTTCTGCAAGGTTGTATTTAGCTTCATCTTGAACCTTCTGCTTGCTCTACTGTCTTTCTCTTTTCTCACACAACCTGTGTGATCTGTACAAAATATGTGACTAAAAAAACCATTCTCAGCTTTCCTGGCATCTGCACATGAAAATGCCTAGACATACTTTTGTTAGTGGGATGGGGAATGAGACTATAAGAGTCAAGCAAAACTAG